TTTTAATTGAGTAATATTGAATTAAAATATTATTATAGGTTATAAAATAACTAATATTATAGGTTATAAAATATATAGATGTCATTAAAATATGGAAAAAAAATTAAAAAGGAAAGGGAAAAAAAAGGAGGAATTTTTTTTAACCAAGTGTCATTTCTGGTTTCGCCTTTAGTATATGTTTATTGATTAGTAGGAAATTTTAGATTTTAACACCTCACAAAAACCCGAAAATGATTTTTAACACCATCATAAAAAAAAATTGATTTTAACACCACCCAAATTTAAAAAAATTCCAATATATGTTATGTACGAAGTATACTATAACAAAATTATTTTGTTCTGATAAACGTTATGTATAGTTTTAAGATTAATACTCCGTATAAAGTATGCTACCAAAATGATTTTTTTTTTTTAAAAAAATTGATATTGGTAATATTATAATAATCTTGGAAAACAATATATTCCAATACCTTTTTTTTTTTTTTTTAAATCTATGTTAGTATTTTTGTAATTAAAAGTTTCCTAGTATTTATAGAATATATGTAAAATTTTTAATTGAGTAATATTGGATTAAAATATTATTATAGGTTATAAAATAACTATTATTATAGGTTATAAAATATATATATGTCATTAAAATATTGCAAAAAAATTAAAAAGGAAAGGGAAAAAAAAGGCGGAATTTTTTTTAACCAAGTGTCATTTCTGGTTTCGCCTTTAGTATATGTTTATTGATTATTGATTAGTAGGAAATTTTAGATTTTAACACCTCACAAAAACCCAAAAATGAATTTTAACACCATCATAAAAAAAAATGATTTTAACACCACCCAAATTTAAAAAAATTCCAATATATGTTATATACGAAGTATACTATAACAAAATTATTTTGTTCTTATAAACGTTATGTATAGTTTTAAGATTAATACTCCATACCAAGTATGCTACCAAAATGATTTTTGTAAAAAAAAAAATTGATATTGATAATATTATAATAATCTTGGGAAACAATATATTCCAATACCTTATTTTTTTTTAATCTATGTTAGTATTTTTGTAATTAAAAGTTTCCTAGTATATATAGAATATATGTAAAAATTTTAATTGAGTAATATTAGATTAAATATGTTGTCAAAATGGAAATAACTATTATTATAGGTTATAAAATATATAGATGTCATTAAAATATGGCAAAAAAATTAAAAACGAAAGGGAAAAAAAAGGCGGGAAAATTTTTAACCAAGAAATGACAAGTGTCATTTCTGGTTTCGCCTTTAGTATATGTTTATTGATTATTGATTAGTAGGAAACTAGCATAGTGCCCGTGCGATGCACGGTTTATAAATAAAATTATTAAACCCGTAGGAAAAATTAAAATAAAAACAAAGGTAATTCATTTACTATTAAAGGACTTGGTTACTAATGGTCAATAATAAAAAAAAATAAAAAAATTAAAGGAACGTTATTTGAATAGTATTTTATGTTATTTGAATTTCTTTTAATTTTTATAATGTTATTTTATTAATTGAAAATTAATTGAATAATACTCCACATAGCTATATAAGAAGTGGGCTAATTTATTTATTTCTCCCGTTGAGAAAAAACTAAAATTTTCTTATCATACCATCCGCATCAGTAGCTACAATCAATCTAATATATACATGTTTTATTTACCCGTCGCACTCATTAAATCTATAGACACAATAATAACCTTATATTTGACCTACCAAAACATATATTTTCCTAAGTTAAGCATTATGCCAAAAATTGTATATTATATAATAGTCATATATATAACCAACAACTGATTAAATATAGTATACAACACAAATACTTCGTATATAGGTATGGATACTGATAATTTTATATAAATAAATATACGGAGTATATATTACTAAGATTTATCCCTACGTTAATTATAAAATGGTTAACAAAACTCTTATAATAGTGCATAGACATTTATATATCTAAAAATGTTCTTTTTACATATATTTCCCCCCATTTAATTTTAAAAGCCTTAAAATTGTCTCTTGAATTCGCTAAATTGATTTAAAAGATTATGTTTATTTCAATATTTAAAGCCATTTACAATTTTCATTTCCTTTTGTTTTAATTTTTCTATTTAGAATTTATTAGACTATTAGGTTTCAAGATCGAAGTCAATATCTTTTTGCCGTACAATCACTAAATCAAAGTCGCTCAACTAAAGTTTTGGACATTGCATAGCTACACACACATCCAACACAATTAATGATTACATGCAAATAATTTTAATAAAACTACGCATTCAATATAAATTATTAAACAATTTAACTATATATACATTTTGGTAGGTTTATATCTTTCATATTAACAAAAATTTACAAATGTTATTATTATATTTTGAAAAAAAATTTAGACTTTGGAGTTTTGTATAAGATAGATAAAGGATAAGTTAATTCCCGTCATATATGCATTGAGTTTTGGGTGTTCTATCCGGTTCACCCTTTGGGCTAATCCAGATTTGAGGATCTGTTCTAGGCTATTAGGTTCCACTCCCTTTCCGATTGTTGTTGCAGGGGAGCGAACACAGGTCCTCCCTACCAAGTGTAGTCTCAATCACCACTACACCAACAACCAAACACTTGGTATGGAGGACACGTGTTATAAAATATTATATTATATACATATACTTTTTTATATTATAAAAAATATTATATTATATAAACATACTATTATAGTTAAAAGTATTATTATGTATAAAACAACATAAATTATTGCACATAATTGTTGTATATCTAGTATAGTACATGAGCAATGCACAATTTTTAAATCAAAATGTTAGTTTTTCTAAAATAAATTCATAAGTAATAGTATTGTTAATACGAATATTACAACAAAAGGACATTGTATAGAAAATGAAAGACCGTTTAAAATTATGTATTTTTTCAAGATTATGTATTTTTTTCAAGATTATGTATTTTTTTCCAAGACAACATTTTGGCTCAGCATTCAGTATTTGTCAAGGAGTACAACAAACGATAAAAGTAATTTTTACACTATTTTATATCTTTATAAAAAACTTTTGTATTCAACCGATTACTTGAATTGAATTTAGGATAACTTGTAGACTATTTTGGGTAACTTTTATCAATAAAGCATAAATAACTTTCATTCATTATAGGTGCACAATATTTTATTGTACATCTGATTTTTTTAAATGTTTGTATTGATTTCATAATTGATGTCAAACTAAATTTTACAGATTTTATTTAATTTTCATATAAAAAAAAACAATATTAGCCTTTCAAAGTACGAAATATTTGTTTCCTTAATTATGCCACTTTAATATTGCTTCAAATTAGTTACAGTATTATTCTTTAACTTGACTATAAATAAAGATTGGAAAGACTTTATGGATTATTTGTAGTATTGGAAATTATATATTTATTATAAAAAAAATTAAATCAATATTTATGTTAGGAAATCATGAAAATCTTATACATGTATAGAAACTTGCTTTTATTGTTTGAAGTTTAACAAAAATAACTATACTTGAATATGTAAACAATAATTATATAGATATATTTTATACTTAAGATAAGCCAATGAGAGAGTGACATTTGTCATCCTCACATTGAGGCGCTTGTCTTTTAGTATAATATATAGATAGATAGTTTTTAGATTTTAACACCTCACAAAAACCCGAAAATGATTTTTAACACCATCATAAAAAAAAATAAAAATAAAAAAAATGATTTTAACACCACCCAAATTTAAAAATAATTCCAATATATGTTATGTACGAAGTATAATATAACAAAATTATTTTGTTCTTATAAACGTTATTTATAGTTTTAAGATTAATACTCCGTACCAAGTATGCTACCAAAATGATTTTTTTTTTTAAAAAAATTGATATTGATAATATTATAATAATCTTGGAAAACAATATATTCCAATACCTTATTTTTTTTAATCTATGTTAGTATTTTTGTAATTAAAAGTTTCCTAGTATATATAGAATATATGTAAAAATTTTAATTGAGTAATATTGGATTAAATATGTTGTCAAAATGGAAATAACTATTATTATAGGTTATAAAATATATAGATGTCATTAAAAAATTACAAAAAAATTAAAAACGAAAGGGGAAAAAAAGGCGGGAAAATTTTTAACCAAGAAATGACAAGTGTCATTTCTGGTTTCGCCTTTAGTATATGTTTATTGATTGATTTTAGATTTTACCACCTCACAAAAACCCGAAAATGATTTTAAACACCATCATAAAAAAAAAATTGATTTTAACACCACTCAAATTTAAAAAAATTCCAATATATGTTATGTACGAAGTATACTATAACAAAATTATTTTGTTCTTATAAACGTTATGTATAGTTTTAAGATTAATACTCCGTACCAAGTATGCTACCAAAATGATTTTTTTTAAAAAAAAATTGATATTGATGATATTATAATAATTTTGGAAAACAATATATTCCAATACTTTTTTTTTTTTTAATCTATGTTAGTATTTTTGTAATTAAAAGTTTCCTAGTATATATAGAATATATGTAAAAATTTTAATTGAGTAATACTGGATTAAATATGTTGTCAAAATGGAAATAACTATTATTATAGGTTATAAAATATATAGATGTCATTAAAATATGGCAAAAAAATTAAAAACGAAAGGGGGAAAAAACAGGCGGGAAATTTTTTAATGTCATTTCTGGTTTCGCCTGTAGTATATGTTTATTATTGATGATTGATACTCGACCAAATTTGAATCACCTATTACACCCGATTCAGTAATTCGAATTGACAACTCCAATACACAAATAAAAAGATCAAATCTAATCTAACCTTATATGGTCTGATTTGGTCTGATCATTTCTAAAGTTAACAATTATTTGCTTAAGTAACTTGAATTGAATATAGCCTCATTTCCTATCAATATCACAATGTGAGTTATCAATTTAAAGATGTTATATCTCGCATAATATGAGTTGCCATTTAATTGAAGAGGATATTAAGGGTCTGTTACATGCAAAGTAAATGAATGGAAGAAACATCATAGAGTTTGTTACAAATAGGACAACCAAATAAATAAATAAATAAATAAATAAATAAATAAAAAAGAACAAGAAAAAAGAGACAATTCCCAAAAAAATAATATACTCCGTATATTCAAATTTTTGTTTATGTTTATAAATACGAAGTTTTGAATTCATGACATAAAATTTTATGTCCAAAAACAGTACAACCACAAGCACTGAAATGGCTTCCATTCTCAATTTTCTGTCTCTACTTTTGCTTATCTCTTTTGTTCATCAAGGTACGTTATTTATTCGCATCACTATACTAATTTTTATTGTAAACGTTTCTTACATTTTCTGTTTTTTGATTTTTTTGCTTTTTAAAAATCATATAGTATATGTCAAATAATGATTAAAAAAACAAAAAATAATGTCAAACAAGGTCTTACCTATTTGATTTTATTTTAGCTACCAATTAAACATTAATGTTTAACAATTATGCCATCCAAGTTTTCTTTTTCAATTTGAAATTAAATTTGCTTTTTAAATAAGAATTGTTTATCACCCCAAGACCCTTTTTTTTTTCCATGAATTACTCGTTTGTAAAGTTGTAACCTTTCATACCCTTTTACCACCTCGTAATAAATTTCTTTTCAACATTCGAATAGTGAAGGATAGTCTCAACACTTTAACTCGATTTCTTAATTACTCGTCTATGTTTTTAAAACCGATAACATGCACATACTTGTAAACAGGAATAAGCAATTGGGATGACTGCAACTATTATAAGAATGTACAACTCATGCAGGAAAGAACAGATGAACAACCAAGAGGATGGAAAGTATCAATCATCAATACTTGTAAAGATTGTGTATTCTTTGATGTCCGATTGAATTGTACTGGATTCGTGCCTTATCGCCCATTAGATCCAAAAGTACTAACAATCGTAAACAATACATGCTATGTGAATGAAGGCGGTATAGGTTACATACCCTATAATAGTAATTACAGCTTCACTTATCTTTCCTACAGTCCTACTGGTTATGACTTTACTGTCCATCATGCTGCTATATCCTGTAACCTTCCGCCTGCTCCACCTCCGCCTCTTCTGGTTTGATGCTTTAGCAAAAAAACAAGGGATTGTGTAATGAAATAACGTGTGTTGCAGGGTCAATAACAGTTTGTTTTGGATTGATATTTGAGAGATTATGAAAATAATAATCACTTCGTATTAGAGATTTTAAGATATATATATTTGATATTATTCTCTGTTATATAGTCGTTAATATATATCCCCATGATTTGAAGTATTACAGAGTTACAACCCGAGTTAACTAAATACAAATTCTCAAAATATTACCAGCAAGGCTGTATCATTATTTGCAACACCAGCGTCAACTGTTGTGGTGTGGCTGACATAGGGGTTACCGGATTAGGGGCTGAGAATGAATGTTCCACCCATACAACTCAAGCGAGCCCCCATAATGTTCTCTTGCAACCTTGCCAGTTATGAGTTTCCATAAAACTGTAGCCCTCCATAGTATCCTTCATTTATCGATGACAGAGTATTGTACTACATCAGATACAAGACACACTTCACCTCCAAGGCCACTACAGCAGCATTGTGGATAACTGCTCAGAATTCCCCATGTTCAACTTAGTATTTCTCAAACATGCTCAAGATCTCATTTCACACAATACGGGGGAACCAATAGTACAAAGCAGCAGATTTTCTGTACTAAGATTGCTTTTGCAGAATCTTATAGTACAATTCTTCCTCTTTCCCTCCATATAATTCTTTGAAAACATCACCAGCTTTAAAAATAAATGAAATTGACACATTGATATAGTTATTTTCAGCAAATTTGGCAAATTAATTTCCTCTCGTTGAAGGCCACTTCCAATTAAGAATAAGCAACCACTGGTTTACGATTACAGAATTCAAAACAGCAGCCATTTTTCAGAAAATTCACAAATACATTGAATGAACCCAACCCTCTGAATCTCACACACGCGCACACACAAAATTTTTACATATCACAATGTCATGAACAAGGCAAATCCAAATCAAATGCTCTAAAACATCAGGCTGAGGTAGCTTTGGCTGATTTATGTGCTGCAATCAGGCTTTTTGTCAGCCATATAGCGGTTTCCCGAGAGGACACAGTTTCTTCACCAAAAGGTCTCAGAATACCAGAAAGTTCATCAAGCTTATCCTCCCTAAGTAGCCGTGCACATAACTCAAGGAGAGATTCTAAAGCATCAGCTCTTTGGTGGGTCGGAACTTCAGTCCCTCTGGTTTGACCACCACTCATTGCTGTTAGGGTTCTCCTCAGTAAAGACAATTCAGCTGGTGTTGGGTTAATTGTTTCATCACTACCACTACTTGACTGTAAGGTGCAACTAGTGTTGAGAGTCTCTACTCCAACTTCACAGTTGGATGGGAGCAAATTGCCATTCTCAGAAGGCGATGTCTCTGTTTGTTGATTTTCTATACAAATATCATGATTTTCTGTTTCCTTTTGAGAGCTTGGTTCAACATGCTCATTTTGCGTCACTGGCAATGGTGTAGGTCCATCATCGGGAGAGCTGTTAGACGAATGATGCTCTTCACAGGAAATTGACGTGTTTCCATTGTTCTGTCGCATGACTTGATTGATATGTTCACTTTCGTCAGTAAGGTCTTGTACGTCATAAAGCTCCAATAAATCTAGTTTGTTCTCATTCTCAACATTAACATCTACCCATTGTTGAAGGGATTCATTACTAAATGTATTTGCGGCTGTAGTTTCTTCCACACCACTTTCCTTGGAAGCATTTAAGCCACTTAGCTCATCTGAGCTTGTATTACAGCCTGAAGACTCACATTTGGAACTTTCACTGGCATCACATCTATCCTTAAAGTAGCTCACCAGATCAACTCTCTTCGTTTCAAGGTTTTCCTCAGAGGTAGCAGATGTGGATGATTTGTCACAACAATTCTGCTGATTGATGGGCATAGCATCACTAATCTTTTCACATTGATCAAAATTTCCCATTGGCTTTACTGCTCTTTGTTCTCTCTCTCTTTCATCCTTGTCACATTGATCAAAATTTCCAATAGGCTTTACTGCTCTATGTTCTCTCTCTCTTCCATCCTTGTCACATTGATCAAAATTTCCAATCAGCTTTACTGCTCTATGTTCACTCTCTCTTCCATCCTTGTTTCTATTAGTTTTACCAGATGAAAGTCTCCTAGATGTCTTTTCTGCCTTTTCCTTTGAGTTTGGCGACTTGACGGGAAGATAGGATGGGGATGTAGCACGACACCTGACTAAAAATGGCTGCAGGTGAGGATGTCTCAAAATTTCTGCAGCCTGATAAGTAATGTAAAAAAAAAAATACAGAACATGCATCAGAGAGGATCCAAGAGCTGCAAACTACTCTAGCATTTAAAAGCAGGTGCAAAAGGCAATGAAACTCACAGTAGGCCTATACTCTGGGCTTTTTCGTAACATGGTCTTTATAATTTGTTTCCTGGATAGCAGAAACATAAATTGTGAAATAACGATAAGGCGACTTTATTTTATAATGGATTAATGGAATAACAAAACATGCAACTGAAATTAAATGAAGATATAGATGTGGTGAAGTTATAAAGCACCAAGTCCATTTCTTGGATTTTGTGGCACTTACAATGTGGAGGAGTAGACAATTGGAAGTGGGGTCATAATTGATCGGTTAATTTTGTTGATCAGACTAGCCATGTCCTGTTTCATTTCACCAGAAGAATTAATAACGAATTGTACAAAAATCAAACTAAAACTTCTTTCTATCCAATAGATAATTTAGTACGGAGGTAATTCAGCATGGGACTTACATTAGCTCTGAATGCTGGTTGATGTGCAGCAATCTCAAATATACAACATCCTAAAGGAACAAAATACATCAGCACAGAACAAGATAACAGAGTTATAAGTGACACCGTAATACTCTTTGTTACTTACCAAGTGACCATATATCTGATTTGTAGCCATAAGGTATGTCTGCAAGGAGCTCAGGACACATATAATTGGGTGTACCAACAACCTAAGTACAGTAAGTTTTCAACAAAAACCCTTTCATCAGCAAAATAAATTTATTGTTTGCAAATACACATCATTAGAGGAAATGCTCAGAAGTCAATACCGATGAAGCAAGATCATCAGGCTTGAGAAGTTTTGCAAGTCCAAAGTCACCTATAACCTCCACACAAAAAAAATTTGTGAGCACTAATCCAGTTCAATACAATTCTAACCCATAAGAGGGTACAATTTTCATATGTCAATGGATATTTTTTAAGGAAAAAAGCCTTGGCAGAAAGTCCCTTACCAAGCCGAATGTCATTTTCCTTTGTCAAGAAGATATTGGAACACTGAAATAAACATAGTTACATTACGATTGACATTAGTGGGCCGTAAAAATAGTTTCAAACCTTGAAAAACAAAACCAGTACCAATTTTGCAAGCACATGCAGATTTACAAACCTTCAGATCTCTGTGAAGTATGCGGTTGGAGTGCAGGTAATCCACAGCTACCAACAACTGAGTCATCCATTTGCAGATTTTCTGTAGATACCAAGAATTTAAATAGGTTTCTAATTACTCATTCAAGTAATATAAAGAGAATTGGTAATTAATTATTTAATTGCTACCTCCTCGGAGATATGTGATCCTCTAGCCTTCCTAATGATCTCAGCCCTGATCATACAGAATATTATCCCACTTAGTCATAATTCATTTGTTAATTGCATCCAAAAAGAATGGAAACTGCATATTTTCTTTTGAAATAAAATATAATTTTATAAAAGTGTTTCTTCAATCTAAATGGATAGAAGTCACAGTACTGTTGACATGCATGCATTGCCTCGTGTGATCACAAAGATGAAAGATCCTTTTGAGGCAAAGTGTAATGAATGATGTGAACGCCCCGCTATTTTTTTAAGATGAGTGCCTAATGCAACTCTCATGCCAGTCATACAAATTTGAAATCCTACAATACTTTAATAAGAGATGAGTACATAAATGACAATAATCAAGGATGCTAGCTGCTTACATATCACCTCCTTCGCAATAGCTGGTTACGATACATACGCAGCATTCCTACAGCAAAGAGGAAAAATGATAGTATGAAGCCTCAGTAGTAAAACCATAGCAATGTCATGAAGGGATTTCATAGTTTCAAACAGATCATTTTCAACAAAATCAGCACATGTAATGGCCATGCTACCTCCTAATTGAGAAGTTGAGTTTTTATTGGTTCGGACATGCAGTAGTGTTCAAATTTTATACTATGACAAATCAAGATATGTAGCAAACAGTAATTGCCAATATGGCATCAATGGCACTAATATATACTCAGTATGTGATGTCTATATTTACCTTGTCCACCCAAGAATATTTATATTCAACAATGTATGGATTGTTTAGCTTGGAAATCAGCTCCATCTGAACAAAACAACAAGAGCCAGAGCAAAAGTAAAAATGGTAAGTACTGAGAATCGAAAGCTCTAGTCCTTTAAAAAAGAGAAAAGAAACAAATTCAGCAAAATGCAACATTTGGACAATAAGACACACCAAGATCAAAGAATGCAGCAAAAGGTACTAAGACTATTAACCACAGTTCCACATGTAAAAGGTACGTAAAACATACTCCCTCCATTCCTCAATGCTTGTCCCATTAGTCATTTATCACCAATGTACATCTTTAAACAACAATATCTTTATTGTTTAAGATTAAAAATTCTGAAAAGATAATATTTTGAACTTACACATCGAAACGAATCTAACAAGATCCCACATAAGCATCTTATCTCTTACATAGATCAATGTATAATATATCCATAAATAGTCATGGTCAAAGTTTTTCTCCCTTCAACCGGAATATTCCAAATGGAACAAACATTAAGGAACATAGAGAGTACAATACAAAGAGATAATAACTAAACTAAACTAAAATAAACTATTATAACACTGATCAATAAGTGATTTTATCATAGATTCATGAACTAAAACGCCTAAAATTGGTGGTATGAAACATAAAAATACAACAACACTAGTGGATGTGTGATTTTGTTATACATTCCTAAACTAATGTCATTTGAGGATATTTATATTATATTATATTCATAACCATAAGGCTGCGTATGTTAAAGCTGTGATAAGACGAAGTAAACATAATCAACATTTTTAATACACCAAATTAAATTAGATCTTGACTACCAACATGTTCAGTTGAAATTTTACAAATTAGAGATAAAAGAGACTAACCTCCTGAAGAGCTGTTCTCTTAAATTTCTCAGTTTGTTTAGCTAAGCGTATCTTCTTCAATACATACCTAAAAAATAAATGAATAATCAGCAACCATAAGAAATATGGGTAGCAACCCATATAACACCGACAAACAAATCATTAGCAATCAACAAAAAAAATTAAAAATACAATACTCCATTATTTGGCATGTTTCTTATCAATTTTGAAATCGTTGACCTGTTTTCAACACCCTATAATTGATCCCTTTCCTTAAACCCCACAAAACGTTGGAAAATTTATATAAAATTGAAGCAAATTCAACCAATTGATCCTATCAGCTAATCTAAGTGTTAATCATTCAAACAAAATAATTAGCAAAGTAATTAACAAGATTTAAACTTGAAGGAAAAGAAAATTCACTTCTTTTGCTCAGCTTTGTGGAGAACAAGAAAAGCAACCCCAAATGCGCCTCTTCCAATTTGCTCAATCACTTCATAATCCTCCATTTTAGACTTAAATTCTCCATTTTCAGCCTCCATTTTGAAACCCCAGAAAATTTTAAACCCCCCAAAACCCTTTTCAGGATCTACTCTTCTCTGGGAAATTTCAGCGAACTCCTGGTATGCAACCCAAAAATTTTAGCAAAAAACATAAAAAGTTACATATAAAAATGAACTAAAAATCAAACCTTTTTGCCTTACCTTCAAACCAATTCACCAAAAGAACAGGATTTAAGGAAGAATACCCAGAAATTGAAATTATACAATAGTAAGAAATTCGCAAAGAAGAAGCTCAAGATTGTAAAATGGAGAAAGAAGGTCTGTTTATTAGAGAAGAGAGAGAAAGAGAAAGAACATCCACAAGTTCAACTGTTCAACTGTTGAAGAAAAGCAGGAAAAGCAGGAGCAGCAGCAAGTAGCAGACTGGAATACAAAAAGTGTTAAACAGCAGTATTATGACTATTTAATTACAAAGGTGATTTGTTGAGTCGTCTGTTTTACTCCTTAATTTTGTATTAATCAACTTAACTACTCCCTAAATCGTACTGTAATAACTAATACGGAGTACTACATAAGTACTTTCTCCGTCTTTTTTTCCTGTAGTTGATACTGTTAGACTTTTATACTATTTATACAATACAATTTGACTCGCTTTTATGGTTTATAGATACCATAATACATATTCACTTGAGATCTTATTTGAATTGTTTCGATGTACGAAGTATATTTTATTAATATCAACTTTTATAATTTTACAATGTTTATAATTAGAGATATTAATTGTTAAAGACACGTGTTAGCAAGCGTGATAATAGAAAGGTGTCAACTAAAAAAATAGAGGAAATATATATATTTTTGGTTAATTATTTCCGTTCATGTGAACTTAAGCTACTTCCTCTGTTCTCAAGTATAGTCGCATTTGACAATTACGCACGTGTCTATCCTAGATTTATATGCACGCGATGCATTTTATATATTTAAATTTCTTCTGGATCAATTATTTTAAAATTGCTCTCTCATTTTCTTTGTATCTAAATAAGTGCTTCACTTCTGGATCAATCAATCATTAAGTCAGTAGAGCGCATGAAAAAAATAGAGCCATACATAAACTTGGGAAACAAGATATTTATTTTGATTGTAGAAGCACTTCATAACATATTGGTCTTGTTTGTTTTATTTCGTTACTAAAATAATTTCACATAAGATATAAGTAAAGGAAAATACATTTAGATAATTAAGTTGTTATAATGGATACTTAATTAGGATTAATTAAGTTCAATTACGGCTAAAACAAACTCTTAACCGAGTTTCAGATAACAATGTGTTATTTTACCTGATTTTTACATGCCTAAATTTATTTTATCTTATCTGAATTCATCAAAACTTATTAGTTATTAGAAATAATTTTAGTGGTATATTAAGCTTAGATAACTCTTATCAAAACTTTTATTTTTTTTCCTAAATGATCTTATCAAAACTTATTTTTCTTTTTAAAAAAATGAAAATAAGATAAATAAAACTGATACATCATTTTGCATGACAAATGTCGAACAGTGCATGCTAATGTTTAATTTTGGGATAACATATAAGCTAACGTAATCAAATTAGATCAATTGCTTGGAATTTTGGAGATTTACACTTGTACTTTGTTTTATACATAGTGAATAATAGGTGTGCTTTGTAGTTTGCACGCACAAATTAATTAAAATTTATTAGTAGCCCTATCCCAAATTGGTAGGACCCTAAGAAGAAAAATTAAATCAAGAAAGAGGTGGCAAAAAATTCTTCCTAATTAAAGCAAGGGACATGGCGCATTAAGCATAATGATTAGATTGAAATTAGTATATATAAATGATAATCTTAACAAATTAGAAAAGAAAAATGGAACAAAAATGGTGTACCTAAAAAGATTAATTAGTCATTAGTGGAAGTTGTAGAAATCACATATTATCATTTGGTGGGGACTTATAACATCTAGCCGACAATTATGAATTATTGATCCTTTTAGAATTTTGTACTAAGGTTAATATTTATGTTCATATTAATAAAATGTACCTTGACTTTTCTATGCTTGAATTGGCCCATATGTAACATTATTTAAAAGGCATTATTGAAACTTGTCCTAACACCTAATTTGTGATGCTAAAATGTCGTTAGTACTAATGTTTACTTATTTGACCTACTTCCAACTACAATTAAAATGAAAGTTTGCTCTATCCTTTAGGGATTGTTTTCAATTAGGAGAGGACAAGAAATAACAACCATTGATGAACCTTAAGGGTATTTTCATTTTTACCACCTTCAAATAACCACTTAATTGAATTTACCACCTCCAAAAAAAAAAGATTTACTTTACCACCAACAAAATTTCCAAAAAATCGATTTTACCACCAACTAACGGATTCCGTCCACGAATCCGTTAGTAGGGCCCACCTTTTTGACGTTTCTTCTTCATCTTCCCCGATCTTCCGTGTAAACCAACCAGCAACGAAATCAACTACCTCGGTTGGTCGGAATTTCGTGTGTGACTAAGGAGGGGCCGGAATTTGGTGTGTGGGTTAGGGAGGTGGTCGGAATTAGGTGGTGGTTAGGGTTTTAGGAGTGCGAAATTTGGTGGTGGCTAGGGTTTTTAGAGTGGTCGGAATTAGAAGGGGATTTATGGGTGGTCGGGATTTGGTGGCTGCCAAAAACTAAGAAGCCAAATCACCAACAACAAGGATACAAATCGATTATCATCAACATTTCTACAAACCAAAGCAATTAATCCATTACAATACCCACAAATCGAAACCTCAAAACCAGAAAAAGAATTGGGTAAATCAAACCTTGTCAATCGTTTTTAGCATCAAGCTCAGAACCCCACTTCAATGGAGTCGATTCCAGGTGACTTCCATGGTTGAGGATAAGAAGACGACGGTCAGAGGAGAGAGAATGAGCGAGATGAAGTTTGATTAAATGGGTGTTGTTGATTGATTAAGGAATGCCAAGCCTTGGAAACGCATTTGAAGCGAAGTAGTGATTTAGTGGGTAATCGAAAAGAATGGAGGTGATTAACTCCATTGGAAGAGACGCCATTGTTGTGGCTTTCGAGAAAACAGAGCAAAAAAATAAAGAAAAATTGGTGGAAAGGTGGTTGTGGCTGTGCGGTGCGGTGGTGGGGCTGGTCGCGGTTAGGTGGTGGGGGCTGGTCGTAGCGGTTAGGTGGTGGGGGCTGGTCGTGGCTGGTCGGCGGTGGGGGTCCTGACGGTGGCAGCAACACCGGTTGATTAATGGGGATTTTTTTAATTTTTTTTTAAAACTTACCCAATAATATGGCGACACGTGTGCAAGGTAGGCCCCACTAACGGATTTATGGACGGAATCCGTTAGTTGGAGGTGATTGGTGGTAAAACTGATGTTTTATTTTTTTATGAGGTGGTAAAGTAAATCTTTTTTTTTTGGAGGTGGTAAATTCGACAAAGTCATTATTTGAAGGTGGTAAAAATGAAAATACCCGAACCTTAATTATACCTATTTTTATCACAAGGTGAAAGTTACAAAAGATGACGTTTCAACTTGCATTGTCCTACTTTATACGAAGGTACGTTTAAGAATTAAGGTAATGTATTATATAATATGGAGTATTATATCAATAAGATGTAAGAAATAAATAGATGTTCTATACTTCATTTTTGTGAGTGTATATTTGATGGACTTTTATGGACGAAATTTTAAATTTGTACTCCATTTGTCTCTAAAAGTTCTTTTAGTTTATACCGTAATTAATTATCTCACCAAAAAAACAAGTTTAAACAAGATTTTTTAGAGATTGTGGGAGTATGAAATTTAATTTGTTTAATCCCTTAATTAAATAATACGGAGTACTTTTTTATTTTTTGAAAGAAAATAGAGGATGGAGCAGCAATATTATTAAGAAACATCCAAATCCGCAAGAGTAAGAACACCTTGCGAAAAAGTTTCAAAAGATACAAGCTCCTCCACCCCTAAGGGCAGAGGAACAAGATCTAGCAACCAAGTGAGCTATAGTGTTTCCCGCTCTTTTAACATGGCTTCAAGAAAAGGAATTAAACGACAAAGACATCTCTAAAATACGATCAATAAAGAGATAAAAATAGCTAGGACCCTCAGCTTTGCCTCTGACTTTCTACTCAACCCTGAGAGAGTCACTCTCCATTTGCACCTTCTCATATATACCCCAATCTCCTAGCAATCTCAACTCCAAAGCACATAGCACGCAGCAGCCTCAGCCACACAAGGATCCCGTTGTCCCACCTTTCTTCCAATACCAGTGGCTAAAATAGTCCTAGTAGAGTCTCGAATAACCACCCCCAGCCCAACCTTGCTATTGTTAATAATACCCGCATCAGTATCGACCTTAACAGTGCCCAAAGAAGGCTTCAACCATCCAACAACAGACTTCACAGTTCTGCTATGTCCACCAAGACTCATATGAGTTGTGCTCAAGAATAGACTTGTTCTTACTAGTCCAGGCAACCCAAGGCCCAAGCAAATCTAGCAAAGAGAGAGAGATCGTCTTTAGCTAACTTCCCTACCATCCACATAATTCGATCCTTAAAAGATGGGGAAGGTGCATCAACCATGAGACTAGCAAAAGGACTAGCAACCAGATTTGAGAAGTGACATTACAAGCAAAAAGGGCATGATTAATTGTTTCTTGATCATTGCCACAAAGCACACAATCCCCATTCTCCTTAATATGTCTAACACGTTTCATCGACACGAAGAGAATTGTGCTAGGCCCTCCAAAGAAAATGTTGAAGTTTCGGTGGTCCAGCCACATTCCACACCAATTTTCAAGTTTTTTCATCAGCTGCACCATGAGAGTCACTCACCCCAAGTACTCCCAACCAATAAGCGGATTTAACTGTTAAAAGACCATCAGAGCAAGGCCACCAAAACCTTTTGTCAAGTAGCATTGGGCAGCAACAGAGGAAGCTCAAAGATATGCTTTGCATCCTCATCTCTACAATGTAAGGATATAGAATTATGGTCCCATCAGACACCAAAAGATCAGGATCATGTAAACCATTAGAAGGAGGCATGAGTCTTCCATTCGAAGCGCCAGACAGCAGCCACAAATCATCCCACACCCTAATCTGACTACCATCCCCCACTCTCCATTTCAATCACTCCGTCATATATATGCCAAGTGAAACTTGGGGTAAAGCCTCGTCTTGCATCCAGAAAATCAGATTGCTTAAAATACTTCGCCTTTAGAGTCTGATGAAGTAAAGTGTCTCCTCCTTGCAAAAATATCCAACATTATTGCGTGGAAAGTAATGCTCGATTGAAGATCTTTAGATTTTCGAATCCCATCCCACTCTTAGACTTAAGAAGACAAAGAGAATCCCAACTTTTCCTATGCATTTTCTTCTCTCCACCATTATCCCATCAAAAGCGTGCCAAAATAGAGTGAATCTCGTCAAGAAGCCCATCGGAATCTTAAAAACACTCATAAGATAAGTTGAGATGGCTTGTGCAATAATCGCCTTTATCAAAATCTCCTTCCCCGGTTTAGAAAGAAGTTTTTCCTTCCAACCTTGAATTGAAGCTTCTTCCAAATTCTTTCCTTGAGATCCGCAAAAGTAGCATTCTTTGACTTGCCAATGATTGTTGGGAGTCCAAGATATATCTCATGCTTGTCCACCTCTTTAATCCTAAGAATATCACAAATAATCACCCTTCTTTCTGCAGGAACAATCTTGCTACAGGTTATCTCACACTTGCTGAAATTAATTTTTTTTGCCTCGAAGCACACTCATAAATCCCAAGAATATCAACAATCTTTTCACACTCTTAGACAGTAGCAAATAATATGCTATCGTCTGCGAAAAAGAGGTGGGAAATACAAGGAGCTCCATTACAGACCTCAGCACCGTGAATCGTTTTTTCCCTAACCGCCTTAGTAATAAACCTCGAGAATCAGCCACCAAAAGGAAGAGATAGGGGGAAATTAGGTCTCCTTGTCGCAAGCCACGTTGAGTGATGATGTCATTAACAATTCATTCATCTTTACCAAGAAAGACATACTGGAAACTCAAGTCATGATCTTTTGAGTCCACTGACCACAAAAACCAAGCTTGTGCATAATCCGTTCTAAAAAATTCCATTCAACACGATCATAAGCTTTCATCATATTAAGCTTCAAAGACATCGTACCATTCCGACTCTTCATTGCATGAAAAACTTCAAAGGCAACAAGAGCATTATCGGTAATTAACCGACCCGGAAATATCACCACCAATTATATGCCAAAATTTCTGATAAAAAAAAAACGTGCACACCATCGACACCGGGTGTTTTATTTGGATGCATATCGAAAAGGCAATTCTAACTTCCTTCTCCGTGGGGTCTTTTCTCAATTCAGCATTCATTTCTTCAGAAACAAGGTGCGCCACTCCACTAAGAGCTTCATCAAAATCGGCGGAGTTCTCAGATGTGAAAAGATTATGAAAATAGTCCGTGACAATCTTTTCAATACCTTTTGGCTCAATCAACCCAATTACCATTTACATCCTCCAACCCCTCAATAGTAGTATTGCGCTTTCTACGGTGGCTTGCTTTATTGTGATCCCCATTTCTCAATTCATTTGTTCTAGCTCGAGCATACTAATAAGTTTCTTCAAGCATATACTACCTCCGTTTTTTTAGTTGACACGTTTGACTTTAACACTATTCACACATTCCTCTTTGACCTGTTTTGTGCTTTATCCGTAATGAAAAATATAGTCATGCGGAATCTTGTTACATTTGTCACGATATATATTTTCAAAATATCAACTTTTCATAATTTTTTCTTATCGGTAATCATAGATATGAATTGTTCAAGTTATGCATTGGCAAACGTGACTAAAGAAACGTGTCAGCTAAAAAGAAACGGAGGAAGTATAACTCATCAAGTGTATTTTTTTTTTTTTAAATTAAAATGAAATTATGAGTGAGAAATAACTCCCTTTGTCTCAATTTAGGTTATACTATGGTTTTTTTTTAAAAAAAATTGTTTTTCTCCTTATATATATATATATATATATATATATATATATAAAAAAAAAAAAACCATTACTTTTTACTAATAAAAGTTACTTAAGTTAGTTTCATGTTCTCTCTCATTCAACTACTTGTAAAAAGTTGTTTCAATATTTCTCATTAAATCTATTATTATTATTATTATTATTATTATTATTAAATAATGATTAATGACTACACTTCTAAACTCCACCTAATAGGCTAATACTATGCAATATCTTCTTATCTTAAAAATAAATAAATAAAATAAAATAAATAAACAAATAAATTAATAAATTAATAAAAAAAACCTATGTAATATAAGAAAACAAACTAAAATAAAATGGATGAAGTCTATCGCATTTAGTCCAAGAATGAAACAAAAAATTTCTTTGGTTGGTTATATTGGTGGAATCTTAGAGGGTGAGAAAACTTTAAATTGATACAGGAAAATTCCAAGGATGTGGTTGTGGTGTCATAGTCAATTACACGATGTGCCAACTCTTTAAATATTGTACTCTAAAATCAATCAACACCAAAATAAAAGATGTTATGATATCCAGTTTCTTCTTCCTTAGTCGTACGGTATACAAATTTCCATGTATATTTTGGAGAGATGCTCTTAACTCCAATTTATTGGAATAATTGTGATTGTAACTTTTACTCCCTATTCATTTTAATTTGGTCCCTAGGTCAAGTTGTTCAACATTTTATTGCAGACTTTTTCGACAAATATAATTAAATATAGCTACACCCTTAATTACATAATACGGTGTACAATAATAGTCTTGTGTTTTCGACCTCTTATTATAAGTGTTAATTGGTTGTTTCACTTTTGTTGATTTTAACCAATTGATTATTTTTTATGGTTTAAGTGGTTGTTTAATTGCTTATAAAGTATGTATTTAAATTAGTTATTGTTTTGTTTGGGTGTTTAGCATCAACTTATGCTACATAAAATAATAAACTTATTGGATTATAGATTTATAGTCCATAGTACATTTGTGTGAAGCTACTCTTTTTTTTTCACAAAATTTTATGATATTCTTAGAAAAAAAATGTTTGGTTGTGGATATAATTTGTCAAAATAGGACACTTTTGAAAGATACTCCATCACATACCATTAATTTATTCCAATGAGATATACTTTGTACATAACATGTGGGTAATGTTGGATTTAAATTCATTATATATTAACAATGTTATAAATATTGTCAATATCTTGAGTAAAAAAAGTGATCAATGCAAAAGTCCGATTTATAATACCATAAACTCCCTTCGTCTCTAAAAGTTCTTTTTATTTTGACTTTTCTGATAAGACAAGCACCATCCAAACATTAATCGATTAAAATATAATTTGCATTACACAATTTTGATTATTAATACCTCCATATCACATTTCGTATTACATATTAATATATATACGTGGTCAAAGTGAGAACACTAATAGTGCAAAACATCAAGATGGTAAAATTTAAAATTATTTCAAAACAAATGTACTACGTACATATCAATTTGCATGTGTGCAAGTGAGTGTAGACTGAATCTATCAAAGAAAAATGAACGTTAAAATAATGGATAAATGGTTAGCACAATCTGATACTCCGTAGTTGATTACCAAATTGTGTAGTATAATTCGGTTTGGATTCAGAATATAATTCATATTGGGTTGTATTTGGTTTGAATTAATGTAATCTCCCCATACAAAAATGAATTTTAATAACTACCTATTCTGTAAAGTCGGATTCAATTCAGACATAGTACTCCCTCCGTCCCTAAATTACATTCCTACTTTCCTCTATTATGTGAGGAATAAATGCTAGATAGGAATGTAATTTAGGGACGGAGGGATATGAATTCTACTTGGACGACGGAGCTCGCTAGACCAAGACCACGCACCTTGAAACACGTTTCTATCGGTCGAAATTCGAAAGGGATGTAAATGTACCATCCTATCCTCATTCCATATGTGTTCTTATTCCAAGCTACATCTATGTGAATAACCTTTGTTTCTCAAGCACAAACTATCAGACCCAAGCTTGAGTGTTTGAGTGATTACAAGAAGTGTCACTTCCCTAGTTCCCTGGTTTGACCTTGATAAATAACTCTCCTTGGTGAGATATAGAACAGCCTAGGAAGTTTAACTAAATAACTTGACATTCTTCCAATTCCTAGGATTTTTCATACCCTTGAAAAAGCACCAAGTTTATTTCACGCTTCAATTAATCCTCCAATCGCCATTTTAATATCAGTCGTACAAAGATCATGTTTATGTGACAGGTAGAACATATATCAGACGACAACCCAATGTAAGTCATGAATCTCATGATCATCTAACCTAATCAAAAACCTTGCTTGTTAGTTCAAGGAACTTTCAAATTCTCCTCAAAGATGAAGTTCAAAACAGGATACAGAATACGCTGTTTCAATGTTTGCATTTCCTGACCCAATTGCTGATACACGAGAAATCTTGAACAAGCATTACTAAATTCCATTCACATAAACAGTAGACGAAATAAATACATGATCAAGTCCTCATGGCACAGGGAAGGGAAGAAGTAGATAGGCTTTGACAGGCCCAGAGGTTCTGTGCGATAAGGCACTGATCAAAACCCACTACATTTCCATTGAAAATAAGGAGAAAACAAGTAGAACTACAAAGTACCAATTTTACAAAACCTGAACTTTGTTTGACGAAAGATGTCTAAGCTACTTCTTTCTACATTTCTTTGACGACAGTTTCTTCTCTAATTTTTTCTGTGCAGCTTCAAACTCTTCCTCTGTTGGTTCTGAAGAACATTGTCCACCATATCTTTCCACCATAGAGCTAAACATAGAATCAAATCGGTCCTTCCTCTCAGTTCTTCGCTGAGATATGATTGCAAATAGATCAGAATCTGACTTCTTTTCTGACCTGAAGGCAGGCAAACACAAAAAAGAAACAGTAAGCTCATGATTTAAGTGCTTTACAGCTCCAGAAAAACATTATACACTGAATGCAACGGAAATGCAAAGGAAAATGGAATTACTTCTTTTTCCGCTTCAAAGGGCTTGTAGGTGGTTTCATTTCAGATACCTCCTTAGCCCATTTCTTGTAAGATTTGAATTCCTTCAGATCTCCTGTGTAGCAATGAACATGTCATGATTCAGATCATGAAAATATTTTCAAATTAAAAATAAAAAATAACCAACAAATTATCTTTTATTAAAATAGAACGCAAAGGTCTGCAGAACAAACTTGATATGCCATCCCTTTGACCACCAGAATCAAATTAAAAACTTTGCACTAATAGACAGCATCAACTTTCTAACCTGAAGCTATTGCCTCGTCAAGTATATCTTTGAAGCGATGAGAGTCCAGCTTAGCGTCTGAGCATAGCATCGAACAAAATAACCTAGAGTCCAAGGCAAGCAAAATGTCAAGCTCGTGTGTCTATGGAGGAGGGAAGGCAGATAGGGAAGGATAGGTACCTTTTCATATTGCCCTTGTACTTCTTGTAGAGGTCAATCAGATCGTTTTTCTCAGAATCAGATCCCCTGTAATTTGCTTCAAACTCTTCAATATCAGCCACAGTGACCTGAAAGCACACACAACCTCAATTCCTGATCTAATGAAAATTGAATTCTGCAATTTTGTAAGGCAGTAGCTTTTCAAGGATGTTAAATTGCACTAAAAAATATACCTCTTTGTACATTGTTCTGAAAAAGCTCTGCAAATTCGCAGCCATATCCCCTGCAAGATCCTACCAATTATAGGGAACAAAAAGCATAACATCAGTCATTAGTCCTCACAATCCGACAAACCTGACACCTGTACTTATGAGTTATGAGACTTAGGACTTCTCATCTTGTAATCTAAAGAACATAAATAATAGAGTTCCAAGACAAGACCAAAATGACAATTTCATAGCTCAATTTACAGGCATGTTTACAAAAATGCACTAATCATTTTGTATCCTCACCAGCTAGGTGAGTTCTAACCATTACAATATCATTCATTCATTTGCATGCAGTCATATTATGGGAACAAAGTGTAAACGTATTCACAAGTTACTTATCCACCTAACATGCGAATGCAAGTGCTATAAGAATTTAACTCACATCATCATCAACCACTCCAGTCTGATCATAAAGAGCTCTTTTCTCCTCGTCGCCAAGAATTGACATCACCTTCTGCAGCTGTTGAAATTTCTCATTTGCTTCCTTTGATAAGAGCAAGAAAGACAAACCATAATTATTGAAAGTTTAAAGAAATAAAATAAATAAATAAGACTCCAACAAACAACGCCTGGAAAAGGAATGCAGGGCAATACCTTATCATCAGGGTTCTTATCAGGATGGAGTCGTAAAGCCAATTTGTGGTACGCCTTTCGAATTTCCTGTTGAGATGCAGTTCTTTCCACACCAAGAACCTACAAATTTATGATTATCAATCATCACAACCAATAAAAGAAAATAAGCTGAAGCAGGTCACAGCTAAGCTAACAATTAGAGAGCAATTCTAATGTTTTTTTGAAAACAATTCTAATGTTAGTTAAACGTGATCACAATAAGGTAGTTCATAGCATGGTTAGATTAAGTTGCAATTATGTAGGAGCCATAGAAGAGAGTTATGGTTGGAGTTGGTTCCTTCAAAGGCTAGCAATCATCAACGACCTTCCATCTTTTTTAAATATATACTGTTACATATTTTGGGGGAGATTCTCACAAAGCCATGCACTTGTTGTCTTGTTGATGGTTATGTGAACTAGCTTGAGCAGTCAGACAATAATACTGACTGTTGCGATCCAGCTAAATTAGTATACTTGTATGATTAATCATCACACAGAAAATGCACTTGTTTTATCTAATAAGATATTTGTAAGAAAATTAAAGTATTTCATTAAATATATAAGATTGATACTATAAATTACCTAATTAGAAAATGTTGCAGGCATGATTAGGTTTCGATTCTCAATTAAAAAGATTTGGCAAATTTGAACCCCTAATCCAAAAAGTAAAAATCTACACCATAACTCTGACAGCAATTTGCGAAGCTGATCAGGGATGTAACCAACATTTGGGGCGTCAACACCTAACATCTTCTTGGACCCATCATATAAAAATCTCACAAAAACATTCATTTGCTTTAAGGCTATTCCTTTCTCAAGAATTCAATCATGGTTATATGAACTAGTTCATACCCTACTGATGTGAACCAAGCAACTCCACCCCGTTCCACAAAGTTCTTCCCATTCACTGTAATTCGTGTATATTTATTGATTGTCGCATTTGGCAACATATGCATCAGACTTTCGAGATAAATTCTACATACTCTGTATCAGACTTCAATTTTACATTGAAAAGGGTTAAGCAAACAAAAAAAAAACCTCTTATCCCAATGAATGGCAATCATCTACTTTAAAACATTAGAGCTTACTACGTAATAGTTTATAAACAGCAAAAGCATACAACATCCAATCACTTAAAAGTAAACCATATCACATTTTGCATAAATTACTTATAATTAATAAAGCATCCCCATGTGATTATACTAAATTAACACTTCAACATAGAATAGGAATTCTATCTTCAGCAGCAATCAAGCATTCAAGCCTTTTAATTAGGGCTTCCAACCAAAATTTACCCTCAATCTCTCAATCAATCAGACAAAACAACACCATCTTGCGACTGGTGTGGCTCAGCTAATGTAGTATACTTGGTGTGGCTCAACAACATATGCATGTGCTTTATCTAGTAAGGTGTTTGAAGTAAATCAGAGTATTACATAGAATATTTTAAGATTGATAGTACTATAAATTTCCTAATCAGAAAATGTTGCGTACATGATCAAATTCCAATTCTTAATAAAAAAAGTTCAGCAAAATTGAACCACTAACCCAAAAGTTAGTAATATACACTGAATCTCTTATAGCAATTCTCAAGGCTGGTCAGGAATATATCCAACAATTGGGGCGTCCAACACCTACCATCTTCTTGGACCGTCATATAAAGTTCTCACAAAAACATTCATTTGCTTAATTAAAGACAATTCATTTCTCAAGAATTCAATCATGGTTATGGTGAACTAGTTCAGATCCTGGTGATGTGAACCAAGCACCCAACTAAACTAATCCACCCCATTCCACAAAGTTCTTCCTATTCACTAAACTTCGCATAAATTCTTACTGACTGTTGAATTGGGAAACGTATGCATTTGGTTTATCCAATATAATCATGTTGCTGGCATGATTGTATTTCAATTCTCAATTAAAAAGGTTTAGCAAAATTGAACCGTAATCCAAAAACACAGTAATCAACTCGAATAGCATTTTGCCAAAGCTGGTCATGGATATAGCCAACAATTAGGGCGTCCAACACCTACCAACTTCTTGGACCATCATATAAAATTATCGCAAAGACATTAACTTGCTTAAAAGAATTATCATTTTTCAAAAATTCGATCAAGGTTATGTGACCATGATAAAGTATAAAACATATTGCTAGAACTCAACCATCAGCTTAAGCTCCGATACCATGTTAATAGACCAACTCAACCAAAAGCTTAACCATAATGTTTTGAACAAACTAAATTACTTAACTTGTGGAACATATGCATTTGGTTATCCTATAAGTTTTGTAAATAAATCAAAGCTTCGAGATTATTACCAGTTCAGTTTTCGATTGAAAAGGGTTTTAGCAAAATAACATCTTTAATCCCAATCAAAAACAATCATCTAACCTAATAAATTACAGCGTATAAGTAAAACAAATTAACAAATTGACAGCAAAAACCACAGTAAATTAGGCTTCAAACTAGAAATCGCAAATTCGTTCCTTGAGCAGAAACCAAACCCTAAACTAATTAAAAATTAGGGCTTCCAATCAAACTTTAACCTCAAATTATCAATCAATCAGACAAAACAACATCACAACCAAAATATCAAAACCCTTGTAAAAATTAATCAAAAATATGTAAAAATTGCAGAATAATCCTAACCTCATAAAGACTCTTCTGCGCGCTATCATCGTCCATATTAGCGTGTTCTTGATGATGATCAGAATCACCTTGTTCGGCTGTAGATTCTTCGGAAACCCTAGTTTTCTTTTTCTTCGCCATTTTAATGGAAGATTAAGTTTGTTTTTTGAAAAGAGGGATAAAGAATAATCTGGAAATGAAGAAAGGAATAAGTTTACAATTTGCAAGTTAGAATTTAGAATTTGAAAGCAGAAGAGTGTCGTGGAGGGGTTGTTAATTTATAGGGGAGTAGAATTGTTCCCGCCAATTTCCTCTTTGATGTCCCAAATTTTTGGATTTTCCCGCCGTGATTGTGTGTTCAGGATTTTTGGCATAGATACAGGAAATGCTCGTCTATGGAAGGACAATTTGAATGTACTCCCGGGTGAGGTTGAGATGATACTTTCTTGGTTTCTTTTCAGTGACACATTTATACGTTTGTCAATACACTTATTTAATTATTAATATCTTTAATTATTGATAAGTAAAAATAATGAAAGTGGGTATTTTGAAAGTATATAACGTGACGAATCAACAAGATCTCACATGACTATATTTTTCATTATATATAAAATACAAAACAAGGTCAAAGAGAGGTGTGTGAATAGTGCTTAAGTCAAAACATGTCAACTAAAGAAAAACGGAGGTAGCATGAGACAAAGAATTCTAGGACTTAAACAATTAGTGTCGTCCATGACTTTAATAAGAGCATACTCGTCCTTTTTACTAAAAAAAAAGGAAATGAAAAGGAGAATCAAAACCAATGCTGGGAAAAGGATAGTGAGTAAGGGTAGAGAAATGAGTTGTAAGAGAGAGGTCTTTCTTCTAGTGGTTTCTCTCTCTAAAATCACGCCGGCAACATCCTTGATAAAGACGATCGTTTTCCGGCCAAAATTTAAGCTAAAGTCCATACCAATTACGGCCTACAGGTAACATCTCGTCAAGTTTTGGTATCTAAAACAACTTGAAAAAAGGAATTTCATCAAGAATTTTTGGAAAACATCATCAATGATTGTTGGTATCATACCATCAACAGTAAAAACATAGAATAATAACAGCATTAATTATTTTTTCTTGCCATGTTTTGGCGCCAAAATTTGTCACATGTTGAGAACTACATTTGAGGAAATAGCATAATGCATAACTCAATTTGCCAAAAAAAAATTACCTTTAAGAATTGTTGAAGAATATCATCAAGGGTTGTTGATATCTAAAAGAATATCATCTAGAAGTCCATTGGTATCATAAGAAATACCATCAATAACAAAGATAGAACAAGAACAACACTAACAGTTTGTTCTCACCATGTTTTGGCACCAAAATATGTCACATGTTGAGAACTCCATTTGAGGAAATAACAAGAGAAGAACTCAATTTGCTAGAATTTCTTTTTTGAGAAGTTAATTTTTGTTCTGAATTAAACAAAAAATTGAAAAGGGCATTTTTTTTTTATAGATTTTGTTCTGTCTTTTCTTTTTTTATTTTACCTTAATGTTTTTTATAATTGTTTTTTTTTATTTATTTACCTTTTTTCCCTTATTAGAGTCATGGATGACTCTAATAGCTAGAGTTCTAGAATTCCTCGATATGAGACTATGGTTCTGTAAAAAGACTTCTTACCTAGACCTAGATTTGGCAATCTCACCCGATTGTACTCGATGCCCGAAATGACCCAACCCGAAATTAACTTGACCTAAAGTAAACTCAAAGTGTTTGACCCGAACAGACCCGATACCCCTAATGTCCCAAACTAAAATGGTCTGACCCGAACATCCTGACCCAAAATTGACCTGATCTAAGTCATACCCGAAACCTATATTGACCCAACCCAAATGTTAGTCATATTTGAAACTCGAATTGTCCCGACCCAAATGTTAGATAACCCGACCTAAATTGATCTGACTCATAGTCGACCCGAATGACATGCTTGTTAGGTCTACATAAATGACTCAAATTGTTTTAACTAAATTGACAATCCGAATAAATTATCGATTTGAGCTTGATCCACAAAACTAGGGATGTCAGTGGGGCGGGTCAAGTGGGAGACCTGCCCCATCCCCGCCCCGATGGGGCGGGGATGGGTCTTAGTTTGGCGAGTGGTGGGGCAGGGATGGGGATAAAAACTATACCCGCCATGGGTAATGGGACGGGGTGGATTTTAAGTTGTACCCTCCCCATCCCCGCCCCACCCCACCCCACCCGCCACACTTCGTACCCGCCCCAACCACACCTTATACCCACATCTATATATCTTTTAAATCAAAATTATATACTTTTATAAAATAATTACATGAAATAAAATATTAATTACAATACTTTATACTATACTTATATCATAAATAAAAAGGTGTGTAATTTTAAGAATGTTTTTTTTTTATTATTATAATCCGTATTAATCATGTAGGATTGTGTATTTGAGAGACGGAGATTAGGTGGGTCTTGGGTGGGGATTAGGAGGTGAGGATAATGTGGGGATGTATATCCAAGTGGGGGTGAGGCGAGGATGGTTTTGGAGTTTTGCCCGCCGGGGCGAGGATGGAGATGAATATTGGACCCGCCGTGGGATGGGGATGGGGATGGGTATGAAAATGTTAGGTGGGGATGGAGATGGGAAGGCCAACATCCGACCCACCCCGCCCCATTGAAATCCCTTCACAAAACCGACATAAAATGAATGACCTAATATTCGAATCGAAACATGCCCAAATATGATTCGATATCCGAATCGAAACATACTCGAGACCCGAATTGACCCAACACATACTAGACTCAAATGACCCATTTGCAAAGTCTACCTAAACTTAGCAATCCTGACCCAATATGTGACCCAAAGTTAACATGAAAACAACAACCTATGATTGACCCGTACTGAAGATAATTAATACAAAATTGATACTACTTGAACTCAATACCGACTCGAAACATACTTGAAACCCGAATTGACCTAACACGTAATTAACTCGAATGTTATCTGACCCAAAATGACCTAACCTGTGACGTGAACTTGACCCGAAAAGAACAACCTGATTGTGACTGGACCCAACCCATTACTTGAACATATTGACCCGGTAGGACTTTAGATACTCTAAGCGGAATTTAATGAATCATATTCATAAGCATCTAATAACCAAGATCATTGCATAACTCATAAAGAACATATAATTGTACCTTTGAAGCATGATTCCACGTGCGATCGATCAAGAACAATGGGAGATAAAAGAACCTCAAGCGTGATTCCTCTACTTGGTCCACAGGCACAAGTTAAACCTCCACTAATGCTAGTTAGTCATGATTGAACGCTTCAATCAACCTTCAACGAAGAAGAGAGACACGAACTAACCACGAACCACCACAATGAACACCACGAGCCACCACGAGGGGCACCGTTCGTAGGAAAGTGAGGAGAGAGGGGAGGCCGTGAGTGAGGAGAGAGAAAAGGGAGTTTAGGGTTTTGGGAAAACTAGTTGCCTTGTTTCACAATTCACTTACTTTTAATTGTGACTTAATTCAACCCTAGGCATGGATCTTAGTTATAGATCATATTACTAAATAATAATAGTCCATGTCAAGCCCTAAGTCCTAACCCTAATCAAACTACTCTAGCCCAACACTCCTGTGGTATGTCATGATCTCATGAGGCCATTGCCTCTTACTTGTTTAACCCACTACCCTTGTTGTGTGACCTCATAGGATCCATTATATTGGCTTTTGGACTATTTAACTAGCCCAAAGATCATTTGTCATATCTAGCACCAAACAATGACGTCCTAAAAGAATGAATTTATTATTTCCATAATAGTGATCCTTGATATATATAGTAATTGCACTTATCGAAGACATAATTCCTTCAAACCCGACCCAAACTGAACCTGAATCCTGATGAAAACACACCCAAAACCCAAATTGACCCGACCCAAAAAAACACGACCTGAATTGACCCGACTTGAACTTGACTCAAACATACTCAAAATTCGAATTGACCAAAATGACCCTACCCAAAATTGACCCGACCCAAGGACCCATTTTCGAAGCCTAGGTAGCCATGGCAATCCTTATTCCTGACCTGAACTTGACTCGTAAACAACGACCCATAATCAATCCGACTCGAAAGTGAAGTTGACCAAATACTCGAAATGACCCGATACTCGAAATGACCAAACCAAAATTGATCCGATCTGATTTTAGCACTAAATGCTTGACCCAAGATTCGATACCCAAAATGTCCTGAGCTAAAATTACCTTATTCAAACTAATAATAATGCCCGGTGCCAAAAATGACTCAAACGACTTCATCTCCAACCATAATCGAACTCATAAACCGAATTGAAAATGCTTATTATATTACAATGATAAAAACATAAAAGTATATTGATTTGAGCTTGATCCATAATAACGACAAGAAATAAACAACCTGAACATGACCTGACCTGATTGTGAACCGACCCAAACATGATCGGAAAATATTCAACCCAAAATTGACCCAACCCAACACTTGACCTTAACATACCCAAAACCCAAATATAGTTGACCTTAACATTTTTTACTTGAACTCGACCCGATATCTAACTCAAAACATACCCGAAACCCGAATTAAGTTAATATATATCCAATTCGAATGTTAGCTCACCCGAAATTGACCCGACCCAAATGACCCGTTTATTAGGTCTACCTAAACTTGGCAATCCTTTCTAAAACTTGACCTGAAAACAACCTAAATTTGGCCCGACCAGAAAGTGGAATAACCTAATCTTGACCCAATATTCGAAGTGACCTGATACCCGAAATGACCCGAATGAAGTTAACCTAATATGATATTAACCTAAATTTCTTGACCCAAACAGGCCCAATACCCAAAATTTCTCAAACTAAAATTACCTTATACTCGAACTAAAAATGCCTAGTGCCAAAATTCACTCAAACAATTTCATCTTCAACCATAACCGAACACACAAACCAAATTTGCAATGCTTATTTTAACAATAACAATTTAACAACAGATAAATTATCAATTTGAGCTTGATCCACAGTATCGACACAAAATAGAACAACTTGAACATGACCCGACCTTACCGTGGCTGCCCGAAACATACTCAACCCAAAATTGACCCAACCCAAACACACCCAACTTGAAATTGACTCGACCCAAACTCGACCCGACACTTGACTTGAAACATACTAAAAACCATAATTGCTCTGACACGAACATCCCAAACCGAACTCGAGCTGATACCTAACTCAAAACACACCCAAAACTCGAATTGGCCCTACACGTATCCCACCTGAATTTAGTTGACTCAAAATTGAGCCGACCTGAATGACCCCATTTGCTTAGACTTGGTAATCCTGACCCGAACTTATCTTGAAAACAATGACCCAAAATCGACCCGACCTGATTTCACCCGACC